AAACCGTAAGATTATACTTTTACGACGGATATTAAAATATTCTTCTTTTCAACTACTCTGTTAAGAGTTATCCTGTAATGAAGTTATCAATGAACCTAAGTTGCGAGGCATTTCTGACTAACTAAAAAATTGATGGAATAAGGGTGACGATAAAACATACAAGATAGTCTTTCGGCCCATTCCTTTGCTTCGTTCAATTCATAGTCCTTCAAATCACTGATATCATCATGTTGATCCTTAACCAGTCCAACATCCATAGTTGCAAGTGCACGCGTTGCGTCATGACCAGCCAGTTTACCGTACGGTCCATCCGGCCCATAAAATTGTTTACCCATTGTCACATCATAAACCTGAAATCAGATAAATATTTGAGACAAAATGCTCACAGAAACGAATTCATCTCGCAAAGTTCATGATTTACTTCACCTACCTGTACTCCTTCATTTTACCTTTATCAACACACTCTTATCTGAAAGATGAAACAGCGAAATTGTAGACCGAATTTATTACAAATTTGGTAAGCTCATCATAAGCCGAGTTGCACATGGGAATTGGCTCATAACGATCACCAAGAAACATATCAAATTCAGCATTATGATTTTGTATTCTGCATGCTCGCGAATGAATTTCGGCAAAACTCGAAAGGAACATACACCACTACGAGTAATGAAAATAAATGAAACGACTAAACAAGGAAAAAAAACTCGTAAGTTATACCTTATCGCAAATGGCCATGAGAATGCGCTCATTATCAGTGCCATTGTATTCAAGCAGTTCATCAACAGTGAAATCACGTTTTGGCATTGGAGGAAGTGAAGCAGGTTGAACTTCTGGGTTAGGTGTTTCGGTTTTTCTTATGAGGAGTCGATATACAATGCATATCAAGAACACAATTATCAACACATCGGTCAAGCCGATTTCGAAAACTGATGCAAAGTCCATTATACGGTTGCTTGTTGAAGATGCTTGCGAGAAATTACTTAGTCACAATCACTTCAGCAATTCACTGGCAGGCTGCAGATTTAATTCGGAACACTCATATGATCATCACGTGATAACATGATAATGCAATCGTACAAAATTCAAAACGAATCCAATGCCTCAAACGTACAAATGTATAAATGATATTCAGTTACACATCATGACAACAGCGAAACACATCCAAAAATTCTCCTGAACACGGAATCAAGTTCGTAAACGTCACAACAAACACATCGAAATCTGCCCAACTTCAAGAGAATGGATTGAGAAAATCCAAATAAAGTCATCAACGTTGGCGATATTGCACAGAAAATTCATATCATGACACTTCGCCAACATCATATGGTGCCAGTCGCTGTCATGTTAAAATAACTCCAACAGCGAGTTACTTGGAAATGCAATTGCAATTTCGAGGATTCTCTAGTATCAAAAAAAGTTTACAGGTTGCCAAGCAGTTTGGTATGTCACGTAAATGAGTGAATTCACTACAACCGCAAACGTTATACGACTGGTCGCTATGCCCATTCATCATTGCACTACAACATAGCTATCAAGAATAATTAGCTATATCCTGTCAGGAATTCCTGGTCATTCTCGAAAACTATAGGCGCAAGAATAAGACACTTCAATCATTCATGCAAACTAACAAAATGTGCCATATGATCCTTGTAACTTTGAAAAATCCCGAATTTACGAGAATCGCTCAAGATTTCTCACGATGCAGAGTGCATAACGAATTGAACTTCTGTTACCCGTTACACAGTCTTGAACCATAGAAGTGTGATAAGATTGTGTGACGGAAATTAGGTTTTTCGGAAACCAAACAGAAACACTTTAAAGATTCCACAGTCATTTCAAAATTTGTTGAACGCAGTGAGACTTCTTAATGTGTTCATTGAATACGATCATTTGATAGGAACTTTTATTTATTGTTACGAAAGAATTTATTTAGTTCCTATTCACAAAAAAATGATAATAAAGCAAAGAGTTTACCCGTTGTGACAGTACGCACGTACATAAGGTAAGATGACACAAGAATAAGTACTTATGTAAGGTTTTCAACAACGACGGTGACAAGATGGAATAACAAAAATACTGTCAAATTAAGAAAATTCATCTGACGGGCTAAAAATTACTGTCGTTGTGTCAGTTTTACCCCGCAGGCCGGTGGTTGCCGATGCCACCAAGCGGGACTCTAGGTATTGTTAAGTACTCGTCGAGCTGCCAGCAATATTTAGTGGGATTTCTGAATTTTTTGATAAAATTCCACAAGAATACGGCTTCACTTCTGATGCATCTGCGTAGGATATGCAGAAATAACTTCTGTATATTTTAGAAGTTCTGTTCGACTCAGTGACGACACCATCTCATGAAAACGTGTTTTCATGAGAATAACAGAAAGGAAGAAATTAATGAAGGTCTTTATATGTCATGATATGGCAGCCGATTTCAGAAGATGACATTTGGGTAGTAGTTTACAGGCATGATGACAGAAAGGTAGATTTTTCCCACCCAGCTCCACATCTGGTGATCAAAGCCAAAATTTCGCACAATATTAACCTCTGGTCAACTACATAGATTATTTCAACGTGTAACTTATCATCGACGGATTGGGAATATCCACATATATCATTAAAAAACCATAAGAGTTGATGTGACCACTGGCTACATACCGCATATCAACAATATTAGTCCAACCGTTACCAAAATACACTATAACGGACAACATCTCCGAATCACTCTTGCAGCAGCTCATTCACAGGCCTGCTGGGTCGCTCATAAGGCTAATTATACACTACGGTATCGGAACTCAAGTTTCTCACCCCACATTGAGCATCGCAATATACCTATTATCCAAGCTACATGGCACCTCCCCATTCCTATTTGTGTTTGATCATGTAACATTCGCGCTCACAGAGATGGCCAAGTTTGCGAGCCTATTTCTCGGTTTGGAGCGAAACTCAGTTCCTTGCAAAAAAAAAGCCAGACCCTTTTCCTTTCTGCTTACATGAAGCTTACCTAATCTCAGGCTTCCGCTTGCCAGTTCTGTGGAGCCAATGTTGGAGAAATTCTTGCTAACATAATCCAGCTTCAGCTACGCGAACTCTCACAGATTAGCCTCATTATTCAGTAACTACATATTCCGCAAATTTGCAATCTTAATCAAAGTCCTATCATTGTGCCTTAAAGCTAGTCACTACTACGTTCTTGCCAATGCCCAAAGCCAGAGAACAGAACATCCATAATAACCCAAATACAATCAA